AAAGTGCTGGTCCAGAATTCCAATGTAACGGTCATGGTTTAGGTTTCAATTTATCGACACCAGTTCACCAATTCCGTAGAGACCAATGCACCATCAAACCATTATTAAATTGGACTGCCTTGTGAGGAAATGCACATATTCTCTGGCATATAAGAACTGGATGATGTTCTCAATGTTCTCACATGTCCCCTCACGTTGTTCACAGTGAAGATGGAATCATCAAAAAATACAAAATGGCGCCAGTTCTGGCAAACGGTCGATGCAATGGCTCTTGCAGCCCATGTCAATTTTCTTCGTCTGTTTAAAAGGTGATAAGTGCTTTCCCGCAGCATGGAGCCTACTTTGGACAGTTCCTTTGCTATTTCCAAGCTGCATGTTTTGACAACATAAAAAGACGTCTATATGTGTCCAAACAAACTTTCATAGTCCCGTTCACAATTTAAGAAAATCCAAGATGGCTGTCATTAACCGTAGGAATTTGTAATGAGGGACTCATAACTCCTTTGATTTACCTATACTTATAAATTGTAACGACAAATATTAACGCCGATATTTTATATTTTCGAGGGTTTTTATTGTTTTAAATAAACACAAAGACAGATGTATTGCAGAATATTTAGATGCAGGAAAAACCTAATTTTCGGCATCTGGATGATAATGAAGGGTTACAATATCCTTAAACCTTCGATGACACAATTTATAGTCCCCCCTTGTCACATAGCACACTATTCACACTTATGGTGCAATCCTTTTGTTATCCCTCTGTACAAAACAAGAAACACCAAATTCTCAAAAAACCCTTATACCAGTTCTTTTAAAAACGGATTCTTGAAAGCTTAAATGTATTATGACACATCTTGAAAGTCTTGAAATTCGTAGAAAAAAGAACGCTTCTTCTTAGTATTGCATCAAGGTGCAAGAGGACAAGACACAACCCTAGGCCAAATAATAGATGTAAACATCGACGGTTATGGAATTGTACTTTGTTACACCGGCTACACATGCACAAAAGAATATGCCCCTTACTGGATGTGTTTTGTTCACTAATCTACGAGAAAGCGTGAACTTTCGGAAAACAAATGAGCCAACCTTAATTGCCCAAGATTTCGCATATGTTAACTTAATCCTTACTTAAGATAAAGGCAAAGAAATTCAAAGTATGAATACCAGCACTAAACAGTACAAATCCTAAAATCAGACTGATCTAACAAAATGGATATCTACCGACAGCTAGGAAATCGAAAAGATAAGTCAGTACACTAACATAAGCCTACCAGGAGATATGGACTTAAAATCTCAGACCATCACGGAATTCCCGCTCCCACGCTGAAACCAACTGTAATATCAAATTGATCTAAACAGAAGACTTGTCAAGCAGTGATTCGCATGTAGAACAATGTTCATTTGAAAGAAAATCTTTCACACACACAATAAAGAGGTTGAGAGCGCCAAGTCGCGGATGGTATTATAAGAAACTTTTCGACATTCTTTTTTACTCGGGTGTCTTATTACGTTAATTCACGTCTCTCTCTCTCTCTCTCTCTCTCTCTCCCACGCACACGCACACCCACCGAGCACGCAATCACGTACACGCGTGCACTCAGACAAAGCAATGTATTTAGAAAATGTGCTATGGATAATCTTTTCTTCCTTGACAAAATTGAAGGAAACGTATCACCAAAGGAGAATGTCTTCGTTTCTTAAGAATTAAATTACTCGCCATGAATCCCGCTCCCACCCTCTGAGTCGAACCGAGATAATCTCATCAGAAAATATCTATCATTTTCTAAAATGGGCACAGCTAGTTCATGCTGGTTAAGACATGCTGCTCTGCAATAGTTTACCTTTTAAGTCTAAATGAGCCAATGGGACAATCGTATCTGATGTCAATTTGTATATTTCAAAAGAACATTATTTGTGTGATTCAAAAACGAGGATAGAAGTATACCGATATCCGCTTTACGACAAAAGAGATCAAATTGCTGTAAAATCTTGCAAAATCACTCCGAAATATCACGCAGAGACAAATGTTTAAGATCAGAGACCACTCATTGCGACTGATTTGATTTTGATGATCAAGTCTCTAACTTCACAGAGATTTAGCCTCTCAATGACGACGAAGTTTCATCGTCGATGATTATTGTTTCATTTATTACATTTCGTGACGAACGCCGGGGATCGAGTTTGAAAAGAAAATCGCCTCAGTGTAGAACAAAAACCAAGCCTCCCCTGTTTCTCAGAAACACTTCGCTTACCTCACTGCAAGAAATTGGTTGATTAATGTAATCAGAGAATTCGACTCTAGCGTGGCCTGACTCTGTTCTGTGTAACGTTAATTTTGATGAACGATGCATGCTGATTTCCTCGTGTACTTGTAAAGTTAAAGGTTAACGACAGTTTAAATCTCTGCCTGGCCCAAGGTCTCGAGGGTGAAAGGAATTAAAGGCAATTATGTTAACACAAATGTTATTATTCATTACATTTACCAGGCAACCAGCTGGGGGTGAGTTGGAGGAATTAAATGCCAAATACGCTGTACGTGTTACAAAAATATTATTTTCTAATATTTCAGAGTTCACTTTTTAAATTAATATATTCTACATAAAACATAGTTATTTTTAAAATTTTAAAGATTTTTAATCTTTTTAAAATTTAAAGACCAGATATCGAGAGCCTTACAATGCGTTTGAAACCACATTTTGATCACGTAAATAGTGATATTGCACCTGAATGGGGCACCTAGGAATCAGGACGCCGAAAAAACTTCAAGAAGTTGGAAGCCCTGGCCAGGGTTTAACGACTGTTCCGACCTTTGTGTTTGATAAGTATCTTCTCATTTTAAGGCAAGCAATGTGGTAACATGTCTAAAGATGCTGGTCGATGCTTGTAAGATGTTTACTTGAGCGAATCCCTTGTATTCTGATATAGAAATGCGATGGGTTTTGAGCACGTCATCTTATGGACAACGCACTATTACCACAGTTCCTCATATATGTTAGATATATATACGTATAGAAAACAAACCCCCGTGATTGGGACCGGTGTTAGATTTGGAATGAGCTTCCACTCTGGGCTGGGTATGTAAGAATGGCGACTACCCGTTTTGTCAATATGTTCTTTGTATAGAAACATGACCAATGCCTTCTGTTTGCAGTAATAACTTATACACCCTTTACACTGGACGGCGTCCTCTCTGCGACCATGAAATTTGGCATCGCTGTGGTCTTAATAAGGAGGCACGAGCATTGATTTGGTATCAGAATGAATGCTCAATGATCGGCCAGTTGTCGGCACGTAAAGTATTATAATTCTTTAACTCTCAAATGGGGCCGAACTGCTGGACGCAGAAGGGACGCCGTCCAGTGTAAAGGGGGCTTTAGGGGTAAAAAAATTCATTTTGAATAAGACAAATTTTATGTAAATTTCCAATTTCAGCTCACACATTTATGATGGGAAAAGAAAGGTATAGCAAAACACACCGAAAAGAGAAAAAATGTAAATGTAGCACATAGGTTGAAGATTTCATATACCGGTATACCTTTATTATATGGATTTTTAAAAATACATAAAGAGATACAGGTACTATTGGACGAGACCGCCATACAAATTGTTCCAACTTTTGTCTTGCTAACAACATTAAAGAAATAAGAAATCGTTTTGCTAGCTAGAATATTACAGTAGTACAGTAGTCTCATTATTGTTTGGTATTTAACTCCCAAAGCGAAAAAATATTTTGTTTTACTTTCATGAAAGACGTATTCCATGTAACCGCATGATGCCTACAAGTAGTCGGTTTCCCTCGGTACCGAACCACAATTGTTTTAGACAAAGCCATGTAGTGCGTGTGTGCGTGCGTGTGTGCATGTGTGTGTGTATGTGTGTGTAAACTAGTGTGTGTGTGTGTGTTTCTGTGTGTGTGTGTGTGTGTGTTTGTGTGTGTGTGTGTGTGTGTGTGTGTGCGCTTCAGTACCATTTTTGACCTATTAAGGAAGAAGAAATTGTGTCCTAATAGTTCGACAGGAAAGGAAGCGGAATAATTGGCAACATATTAAATAATCACATAGCAGTGATGACATTTCATGGTTGTGTGCGTAATGTATGTTTGAAATGCCTTTTTCACACGCTTTAAGTTATCGTTGACTTTACACCTACGGTGCTTGTCTTCGTCATGTCATCCAAATTTGGGGTTTAATGATCCATTTGAAGCATACATTGCCCACGTGTACAAAGAGACAAAAATAACTACGTTTGCTACCCACCAGGTCGACAAGGGACCTAAACCAAAATGTGATAAGTGGATTTTTTTGACGTAAAGTCACAGACCATCAAATGTCACGTGAACATCCAATTAAAAGATCTTCACGATTTCAAAAATTGCTGTCGCTCCAAGAGGAAAACAATTTATCACAAACCAAACTTGAAGTGTTTTCAACATTTCATCTTCCATCTACCTTCTTGCACTTGAAATGTTTTACCGCTCCTTTTAGAGTTGGTGTGGGGCGATAATTGGTGTAAAAAAATATGGCCAGATGGCCTACTCAATAATGTACCTATGCTCATCTGAGTCTGGCTTCGGTTTCGGAACTGTTTCGCTCTAAAATGCAACTCACATGTATAAGAATTTACTGCTAGAGGTTAATTTACAATCTTTTTTTTTTTTTTTGGGGGGGGGGGATTAAAAATGCCCTTACACCTGTGGCATTCCAATTTATTCCAAATACACGGTGAAATTAAGCAAAGTGCCTTCAGCACTTGGAATTGGGCTAAATGTTATGGTGGTCCAGGTGAATATGCTGGCAAAGTGTCTTCCCACTTTGAGGCTTAAACGAGAATTTCACTCCCTATAGAATGAGCTTCAGTGATTCGATTCGTTATTAGATTAAAGACTTCAGTTGTTTATTTGTTGTTTATTACACTAATTTAAACAAACTACATGCTTACATTTAAACAAAATTACCTTATGAACGAGATTTACACATTTTGTTCAAATACCGTTTTTTTTCTAAAAACATCTAGTACTGTTTATTGTCAGCAAATATTTATTATATATATACATAAATATTGGAGATTCACTTGACAATGATAGCACATTGCACTCAACTAATCTTTCAATCGCTTTCCAGCAAGAGACATAGAATCTGTAATTCGTCTGATATACAGTTAACAATAATTTTTCAACTTGTATTACAAAAATCATGGAAACGGCGTAATTCGTATTTATATCTTCTTTCATAATATTTGCAAATTTTGAAATGTCCTCGTCGTATGGCCTTTTCACTGAAAGGTTTGTCTTTACAGTTACCAACTACGCCTCCTGCACACACCATAACATTCACAAACTTGGGTTTCGCGAACAGTTCAACAGTTTTCTCATATCATCCCGAAAGTTTTGGTTCATAAAAGAATAAATGACGGGATTGGCAACATGGTTGAGAAAGTAGAAGTAAAAGAAAATTTTAGCAAGGTCCGGATTTCTGATAGTTAGAAGCTTCGAAGTAATTAGCATTGCAGGGAAGAAGCTGATGATGAACACAACGGCGACAACAAATAACATGGCGGCAGTTTTTATGTTAGCTTGTCTATCCCTTGCCTTCTCCATGGCGCGACGTCTTTCAAACTCTGTGGGAGGCCGAGTCGTTAAATGTATCTTCTCTGTACCGTTCTCTTCTACTGGAAATGTGTTCAATTCCGTTTCCTCTGTTATCAAACCCGACTGACCATCGGCATAGCTCAGTTTCGGGAGCTTTGCTTTCTGCTTTTGTCTCTTGGCGCGCCGTTCCAGAAGGGATTTGTACAACAAGGAGTACAGCACCACCACCACGACCAGGGACAGAATGTAAAGACAGATGTGAAAATATTTAAAGTTCTTTCTCACAGATCGCCCCAGGATGAATGTATTTGCAGTGCAGTGCCCGGTATCTAAAATCACCATCAACGTTTCATTCTTTGTGTCCAAATTTGTTCCGTTGCCGATCCCAGTTTCAGACACAACGGGGCACAGCTGAGTGACACCATAGCAAAGGCACACGATGAGTCCTTCCAGTGCAGCTACAGCCGCCAATAACACCACAATGAGTTTGGCTCTTGTCAGATTCATCAGGTGTGAAAATGGATGACAGATGAACACGTACCTGTCGACCGCAATGGCAGCCATAATAAAAGAGGAGAATGGAACCGAAGAGGTCATGATAAAGTGATAAAACTTGCAAAGAAAATCTGACTGAATGTAGCCATCTAGATATTCCATACAAAGTGTGAGTGGAACATTCACCAGGCAGGTGAAAAAATCAACCACTGCCAATGTCAATATGAATAGAGTCGAAGTCTGTTGATCCCGTTTCTTGTGGTAGACCGCGAACACCAAGGCGTTGCCCATTATGCCAGTTATGCTCAGGAAGCCGAGCATGGCAAAGATGACATATCTTTCATCATTGAATTGTTTGTGCGGCGATGCATTGCAGGCATAGTGGCCTGATATGTTAGCAACCTCAACCATGACTGCGATTGTGATGAAATCCCGCAAAGTTTAAATCAAAGGTTATAGATCCGGATGTGAGAAGTCAAAATGAAGAGGCATGCGTCACAGCTCTGCGCACGAACAGAGGATAACGACATACAACACGAGCTTAATGAAAAGGCTCGTATTTAACAGGCGTTGGTGTCCGAATCAAGTAGGAAAACGCTGATGGATGGAGGCTCAGAATACAGTTAATAGAAATGCGTGTTACGGGTAAATTGCTTCGTCCGCAAATACGGTTTTGAAGTTTTATTTGACGAAGTAATTTTCCTAGAAGAATAAAGCATCCAAATAAGTGGCCTCTTGGAGAAGTAATTTCCGATAAAGTTCCAAGCCTCCTTTTGTCACCTGTCTACATGGCTCCTTTCAAGTCAACACTGTGAACCTAGTTATGAACGATGTCGTGTCTTCTTTGCAACCTTTTCTTACATTTTGTAGTCTTCAACAAGGCAAGTTAGACGTGACCTTTGCACATATGGATTCGCCCAGATGTTATCGATATCCTCTTTAGAAGATCTGTAAAAGGAAAAAATATGACAAAAATTACCTTTTATGTTTCGTTACACAACTCAAGCAGATCACCTGTAAGATGTTCAGTGTATCACGTAAAAGATTTTTTTTAAATATGCATCAAATCATAATGTAATGTATATCTTTATTACTGCAAGAAAAATCTAGTAGAAAACTTGGACACGTTAATATTACTCGGCTGATATTAATCTTTTAACCAGAATCAAACAACAATCCGGTTTGTGTTGTCTCTCGTCAGGGGAGACGAAGCCCAAAGAAAAAGATATGAAAGAGACATTCATGATTCGGAACATTAAGTAAGTGTAATGTAAGTAAAAAAAAAACTCATAAGGGCCATGAGTCACAGCAACAAGGAAGAATTACCGGTAAAGAGCCCAGAATCCGGTGCTTCTTATATTGAATATAGACGTTACGGCAAAATGTCTTTAAAATCAATGCATCATAATAGGAAATAGGGAATGCAGCAAGCGTAGGACAACTATAAGGATGTTAATTACGTTCAGTTCATCATAGACACATGCCAACATTGCATTTTCTGATAACGCAGTCGGCCGTTTCCATTACTAACTATTGCACACACATAACTACGCATAACAACAGCGTTTTTACAAAGACCCGTGATATTGTGCCGGTTATGGCAAAAAGAAAAAAAACATCATTACTCCTACAGAATTTCTTTTATCACTCAACACATACTTACTCTTCCTGCTACTCTTAATTCTTAATGTCATCGATCTTTTAGATAATACAACGTTATACTCGTTTTCACTTTTGAACTGATTTTTCGTAAAGTTTCTCGTCTAGTGAAACCAAATTTGAAACAACTGATGTCTGGATATTTGATAAAATTAATATTACTTAATTTTATCAAAATTGTGTGTTTGAACACTTTTACCACAACTGATGACATGTACGGAAGTGTATTGATAATAAACCGTGGCATAACATCAATAATATCTCCCGTCTGAATAAAGTCTCAAATTGTTTGGATTTTCCCTTTTCCGCTCTGACAGCTTCTTCTTTATAATCCCTGACAACTGTAAGCGAAAGATTGAATTCTTAAACACAGGGGGAATCGAGATAGACACGACCATGTTACTTTGGAAGACAAGGTAAAGAAAATAAACCCTACAAGTAATCGATTGAAGAGGCTTAAATTACGTAAGAGTATCGACAAAAAGGAAAAAATGTTAGTTACATATTGAGTGAATCTGCGAGAAGATCAAGAGCTTCAAAATGTTGTCTGTCAATAAAATCTTCACAAGTTGACCTAAGTTAGCGAGACAACGTATCATCTACTCTACTACCGGCAATTTACGGATTATGTCTATAGGCCTACCTTTGACATTTAAAAAAAGCGAAGGGTCAGGTTTACAAGTAAAGAAGAGCTGTTTTGTTGACAGTCAAGCACCAGGACACATTGTAATTAGTGGACACCTCTTTAGTTATGTAATCTACGTTCTCTAAATACAAGAGGGCGTTCGCCAACTTTTACATACATTTAAACCACGGCTAGCGCGTAGAACAAAAGACTCGACCGTGCTGTATTCGACATACAAGCACGTCATGTACGAGTGCGTTCCACGGTCTGTTGCACTTCTAGTGCAGTAGCCAATCAGAGGCCGTGGTTTAAGCCAGATACAACACTCGTCGCCGAGCTGTACGTGAAAATTACTCGTGTATTGTCTCGCCTGCGGCTCGCCAATACACTCGTAATATTTCACGTACAGCTCGGCGACTCGTATTGTATCTATCACGTAATTGTGAGGTAAGTTTTCGCGGTATTTCGAATGATTTGGAAGTAAAAGCAGCACTTGACCGTTTTGAGGAACGACAAAAGTTCCTATTAGAGATGGGCCAATTGCTGTCCAAGACATGTAAAATATCACGCCAATTACCAATAAACACCGGTTGATAAACCTGGTCATTAATAAAACATCAGAGCTTCGTAAACTGCCGTTACGGTCTATCAACTTTATTGTCAGAGAAATACAGACGATGTTGATAACACTTTTAGTGCTGAATCTAATTTCTTTTGTTATTATCCTCGTTGCTTTTATTGTTATCGCTATCATTTCCCCACAGAACGGTGCTTCAGCGTGAACAGCTTCTTATTGCCCATGCTGGAATCCAGAAAGCGGTCTCAGGACGATCATATTTTTATGTAGGCCTATATTTTGTGAAAGCTTTTTTCTCTGATATGTAATATCTTATATGCGCGTTCTGTGGCAAAATCATTTTTATTTAAATCCCAAACCGATCCTTTAATTATTCTTTATTTCTATAGACAAATTGTGGATTTTGTATTTTAATATATTTTATACGACAAATTTCTACATTTCTTGATAGTATATCGTAAAACCCTCCAAACCTTTTCCTTTATTAATATGTAATTGCGAAAACAGATTTTTTTTGGGATCATAACTTCTCTTGTGCGGCCATTCTATACGTCACAGTGTCTGAAATCAAAACCGTTCTGAATAACATAGGTAATGGGCTTTTGTTATAATCACCATGAAATATCATATCTATAATGTTCATCACCGCCATCACGTCCAAATAATTAACTATAAATCTGCCTTTTAATGTGTTTTTTTTTTCTTGGTGCGTCAAAAAACGGAATCAATCAAATTAACGAAAACAGAAATCAGAGGAAAGATGCACGAGGCTAAAATAATTCATGGAAACTGGTCTCTACTTAGGCTCATTACCTCGTGAATCCTGTTAGAGCTGCACAGTCAGTATCAATAACAGATAAATATATATTGGCTGCTTTAATCAAATGATCGCCCCAAGTGTCGCCTTGATTCGCTTGATTTTTAATTTTATCGACACCGGGAACTTGATGTTATTATTTTTGAGAGACAGGTCGGTGGGTTTGGAAATGGAGTTTGATAGATATCCTCTAAAGAGGGACCTACTGTCAATTAAAATCCGCCGTTTTTTAATCGAGACTTAATAATGTGAGCTGTGTCCTACTGGCAAACCACGTTGGTTCTAGGTTGGCTCTGGTTCGTGACCAACGTTACGATACCACGTGGTCCAACATTGGCTCAGGTATTGTACGTGCCCAATGTCAGTGCAACACTTGGTCTTACGTTACGATACCACGTGGTCCAACATTGGCTTAGGTATTGTACGTGCCCAATGTCAGTGCAACACTTAGTCTTACGTTGACCTGGCATACACAACTGCTACACCAATATCAATAAAGCCCGGTGTAACGGGAATGGAAGTCCGCTAGGAACCGTAGTCCGCTTGCCATTACTTATATACTAACCCCAATACTCCAACTTACCCTAACCTAGGACTTCTATTCCTAGGACTTCCGTTCTTGTTACACTAGCATTCTTACCCAAGACTTAGGAAATATGTGTATCCAAGTAGTAGTACCGATGTTGGCCCTGGATACTGACCAATGCAAGAACGACAAGTGATCCAATATTGGCTCACCGTTAAAAGGTACGCAACTGCTACACCAACCTTTGTCCAACTTTACCTGCGAATTAAGCTACTGGGCGCTGTACAACGTTGACATAGCAAAATATACCTCATCATGGAACACGAATTTCAGAATAACGTCCTAAAAACATCCGACGCATTATCTACACAACTGAGGATACTTACAGCCACAACAGCGTGTATCAAAATATATCAGTTCTGACTCCAACATTATTACCGTGTCTGACACATCTATTAGGTAAAGGAATGTGCTGCTCGACTTAAAAAGTACAATAATTGGTTTCTAACAGAACCAACTATTATTTTCCTACCTGCTAGATGAAAAATGCCCTTAAATCGAACTGCCTATGGACAATTTTGGTTGAATCGATGTACAACAAAAGGACCATCCAGGGATACCAAGCTGTATTAGGAAAAAGCATTACTGTGCTGCCACACGTCCAAACGCCTCTGTACGACTGGGATATCGCTGCTAAATAGCTTCAAAAGGTGACATTCTTAGGAAAAGATTATTCTGTTTCAAACTGTAGATTACGATTGTATCCTGCCATTTATTCGAGATAACCAGTGCCCTATATTTGACTTAAAATTAAGTCTTCAATCAAGATTGCATAAAGAAGTAATTCCTTTATCCAACTTGTCTAAGGCTTCGCAAATTGTGTATCGTCTAACAGAAAGTCAATTCCGATTGTTTTCAATTGAAACTTTAATAGAAGAGCAGTCTGTCACGGAGTCAATGACAATAATCTTTCTGCATATTCTTACTGGCTGGAACGATTGGAAATGATGTTATGAGAAACATGAGTATTAGAGTTATGAGTATTGGGAAACATTTTTACATCGGAATCAAAAAGACCCATTGCAAAATAAACATACCCAAACATAGATGGGGTGGTCCAAAATAAATGTTACTGAGTTCAAAATTTAATAACGTCAACAGATTTGAAGATATGGCAATTAAATTTGGGATATCTTAAGAAAACGAGGTGCCAAATCTGCCAGACATTGACAGTATCAGACTAACATAGACCGGTATGGTGTTTTCTGACCTATGATTTAAATTTTTTCGGTGTGCTAAAACTAAAAAAGGGGAGGGACATGAAATTGTAACATTTACTATATGCATCATGTTCCTAAAACACCCCAAATTTAATTTCAGTATCTTCAAAATTGTTGAAGTTATTAAATTTTGAAAGTAGTAACATTTCATGAGCTACCCGATATGGAGAATTAACGATCGCTGCCTCATTAATAACGCCTACACGTATTAAAACAATGGTCGCGTTATCAGTGAGTCATGACTCATTACAATATTGCCTCGTTCACTGCTTTTTTTTTCAAAAACAGACAAAGAAAGAATTGAATATAAAAATACATATTTTCAGTGGATTAAAGCATGGGGATCTAGATTAAAAGAGAAACTACTGATGTTTATTTGACTGAAGGATGTCACGTCAAAGCATACTGGTACCGAAAGGACCACTGATCGGGGTGAGCGTAATCTGCCTAAAATAAAAAAGTAA